AATACATGGGACCTTGTGCCACTACCACAAGGAAGGAAGCCAATTGGTAAAAATGGGTTTTCAAAATCAAGCGAAATGGTGACGATCAAGTGGAGAGGTATCGTGCAAGACTGGTGGTCAAAGGATATGCTCAGAAAGAAGGTATTGATTTCAATGAAATTTTTTCTCCTGTGGTTCGACTAACAACAGTTCGAGTAGTCTTGGCAATGTGTGCTACATTGAATTTATATTTGGAACAACTAGATGTTAAAACAACTTTTCTTCATGGAAATATTGAAGAAGAGATTTATATGCTCCAGCCTGAAGGTTTTGAAGAAGACGAAAAGAAGAACTTGGTTTGCAGGTTGAACAAATCTATGTACGGTCTAAAGCAGGCGCCGAGGTGTTGGTATAAGAGATTTGATTCCTTCATTATGTGCATTGGATACAACAGACTTAATGCAGACCCTTGTGCTTATTTCAAGAGGTATGTTGATAACGATTTTGTTATTTTGCTATTGTATGTGGATGACATGTTGGTTGCAGGACCCACCAAAGATCATATTGAAGAATTGAAGGCACAACTGGCTAGGGAATTTGAAATGAAGGAATTGGGATCAGCAAACAAGATTCTAGGGATGCAAATTCACCGAGACAGAAGTAATAAGAAGATTTGGCTTTCACAAAAGAATTACTTGAAGAAAATATTGTCACGATTTAGCATGCAAGATTGTAAGCCAATTTCTATCCCTCTTCCTATTAACTTCAAATTATCCTCCAGTATGAGTCCTAGCAGTGAAGAAGAGAGGATGGAGATGTCTCGAGTACCGTGTGCATCAGCAGTGGGAAGTTTAATGTTCGCTATGATATGCACAAGACCAGACATTGCACAAGCAGTGGGAGTGGTTAGTCGATATATGGAGAATACAGGCAAAGAGCATTGGAATATAGTAAAGAGGATCCTGAGATACATCAAAGGGACCTCAAATGTTGCATTATATTATGGAGGATCAAACTTACTAATCAATGGGTATGTAGATTCTGACTGTGCAGGGGATTTGGATAAAAGCAAATCTACTACAGGATATGTGTTCAAAATTGCTGGTAGAGCTGTAAGCTGGGTTTCAAAATTGCAGTCAGTTGTGGCTACGTCCACAACAGAGGCAGAATATGTAGCAGCTACACAAGCCAGTAAAGAAGCAATTTGGTTGAAGATGCTATTGGAGGAGCTTGGGTACAATCAAGAGTATGTCTCTCTGTTTTGTGACAGTCAAAGCGCCTTGCATCTAGCAAGGAATCCAACATTTCATTCAAGGACAAAGCATATACGAGTTCAGTACCATTTCATTCGTGAAAAGGTGGAAGAAGGAACGATAGATATGAAGAATATCCATACTAAAGACAACATAACAGATTTCATGACGAAGACAATCAATGCTAATAAATTTACCTGGTGTCGATCCTCTTGTGGACTGTCAGAGACGTAAGCAACATGATGGTACAAGGTAGAAAGAATGGTGTGAAGATATGATTGTGTCAATCAAATCTTCAAGTGGGAGATTGTTGAAAGCATGCACCGAAAGTGCATTTAGCAAGGTTGAAAAAAAAATGAAATTTTCAACAATGGTAGGCACCAAATATAAAATGTTAAAATTAGGTGCAACAATGGTTGAAAACTAAATGGGCAAATTACAAACTTTAGTCATTAAACTTTTAGGGTATTTTCAAGATTAGTCCTTAAGCTCATTTAGCTTCAAAACCATCCCAAAGCATTCTAGCTTTCTTCCAATACTAGAGAGAATTTAGAGAGTTTCTTGAGAGTCGTTTTCTCCTTTTTTATCTAGAGAGAATTATCATTGTTTTCTCCTTGGTAGATCGAGAGAGGTTGTAATTCCTATTTTCTCATAGTGAAATTCTTCTACCATTGCCCGTGGTTTTTACCCTAAATTTTTAGGGGTTTTCCACGTAAATTTTGTGTCTCTTTTATCTTCTTTTTTATTTTCTCAAATTATCAGTTGCGATTTTGCTCTATCCGATAGCCGTCTTCCGCAACATTTCCATCCCAGTAAAAAGGGATTTCTAGTTCACCATTTTGTATACATTGCCTCATTCACTTTCACATCATATATATTGGAAAACACTTGAAGTTTTCAATTTTTTTTCCTTATGTAAAGAATATTGAATGAGATTTTGTAACAAATATACAAAATGTTTTGGGCCAATATATAAAATAAACACAATACCATTTTATCCATCACAACAAAGTTTGAATAACCTTTGTTCATCTATTTGAATTACGTTTATAATAGTCGGACATAAATATGCTGCCCAAATTATTAGAAAATCTACATTTGGTCGTTTTGATCATTTTTGTCATTAACATTGGGAATGCCTCGCAGAGAATCGAAGCAAGTGAAGAATCATCTGACGTAAAGTTGCTTTTGTTGAGTGTCCTCAATTCTTTGAAAGAGAGAGAGAAAAGGAGAGAGAGAGAGAGAGTTGACTTTTCAACCCAAAGATACAGGTCTTAAAAGTGGTGCTTTTAATATTATAATAAGTCAGTCAAGAATAAGTTGTAACTGAAAGTTTAAATCTTGACCATTACAAATGGAACAAATAGTGTGAAAGAATTGTCTTTGCAATACTTAGTCTAGATTAATTAATTTATAAATAAAAAATTGATGATTATAAAAAAATGTGCAGCATTTAATTTTAACTTACTTTTATTTTAAAATTACTATATGACATAAAATATTCATGTAAATATATACTTTATTTTAGATTTGAGATTTTAATTTGTCTAGACCGTTAGACCCAACTATTGAAAAGATAAATATTAATTACAGAATAACTTTTTTATTTAAGAATTTTTGTTATCAATCTGACTATAACTTTTTTATTGTCACGCATATTATTTATTTTAATCACAGAATAATGACATAATATAAACTAACCATTAAATTTGTGCATGTATCACTTAAAAAATCTATTTTTCTTTTAATTTTCTTCTCCCAATTTATTTTATTTATTTATTTAATCCTTATCTCAATTTTTTCTCACAATCATTTTTGGAGGGATACTTTATTATATTTTCAATTTGATATGCCAACTTTGATAATCGGACACATGCCATAAATATTTCATACATCTTCCCTCATGCATCAAAACATGTAACAATTTTTCAGGTTATCTTTCTCCTAGCTTTTGATCATACTCAAATGGTATATTAATATGCCATTAATGATCGAGGCACATGCCACATATATCTCATACGTTTTTCCTCACGCGTCGGGCATGTAACGATTTTTTTGGGGCTATCATTCTCTTACGATATTAGTTTGAGGTTTTGATCATACTCAAATGATTTATTGATATTATCTTAATCTTATAAGTCGTCTCAAGAACTTTTGTCTCAATTAAAATAACTTTTTCTTAATGATAAATATCATATATTTATTGATCAATTTATACCACATCAATGTTTGATGACCCTAATGGATGATATAAGAAAGTTGAGTGGTTAAGATAGCAAAACAATAATAATAAAATGACCATGTTGTTTAATAGGGTATAGCTGAATGGTGAAAGTGAGATTTAATCCGTTATTAAATGGTCATCATTGAAATTTAGAGCCCCGCATTCATCACTGCACCTAACATTTAACAATGCTTAAATTATATCAATCACCAACGTTTAGGTCACCATTCATTAAAGAGACGAAGTTTTGTTGGGCCAAAGGGGTCCGGTACTTATAAAAAATTATATATTCAATAATTTTTAGTGTAATAGTATTTTAATTCATGTAAAAATAAATATTTAAAATTTAAAATATATAATAATTTATTAAATATTTAATCAAATAGGGGTCAAACTAAAGAAAGATAATCTTATGTTCTCAATATTTTGGGTCTAATAACAATTTAAGTCATTGCAAATTTAAATGCTAGATAAATTAGACACTGTCTTCTAAATTTTGAGTTTAAATACCTAATAAACTATTTTACTTTTCATAAAAAATTCAATATTTCAACATCTACCAATATTTAATCTTAACTCCGTCCCTGATTTATCACCCAACAAACCCCATCCAACAGCTCTCCCATTCACCGTACAAATGTCATAGATTAAATAAATGTTTATGATAATTAAATAAAATAAAACAATGTAATATACTAAGAAATAACACAAAAATAATTTAAATATGAAATGACATAAATTATTCAAACATTTTATAAAAATAAAAATAAAAACATAAATATTAATTATTTAATTTTAATATATGATGTTATATCAGTCGTATAATCAAAAAATTATCCGTATTCACTTTATATCAATCTACATTGATATCTGTTCTCCTATTTTATAATTTATATCTGTTTTTTTCTTAAGTAATACAACACGAATATATTATTAATTAGGTGATCATTTTTATGAAATATCATTATAGTATGTGTTTTATGCTAATCTAAATTCATAATTTGATCATTTATAATTCTTATATTTCTGAACATTCCTATTTTCAGTCCTTTATGCCAACTATATTACACCATAATATGTTTTAAGAAAGTCCACTTTAACCTATTTGACAATTAATAAGAATATTACATCAAGCTGAAAAGTAAAAATATACAATTATAAGGACTAAATCTTTCAAAACATATAGTACAAGATTCTTTTACACAATTTGACATTTACAATATCTATAATCAATGAAACGATGCCAACAGCTAAAAACTACCATATAAATGCTGAATTTAAAATTGGTTTGGTGGCAATTAAATAAAACTTACCACCATTAGACTAGAATTAACAAAAATAAATAAATAAATAATTTGAATATTTAAAAGGTCTGTTTTTATATATTTGTTGAAATTAAAAAGCTTCTGGTTTTGGTTTTATTTGAATTTTTTAAAATAAAAATGGCAGAAATTGTAAATAAATTAACCAAGCATCATTTTGTTTCCCCTCCTTTTTTTGAAATTCAAAAAGCCTATGAAAATCCATTTCAAAACATAATTTTCGCCTATAAATAATATAATAATTTTTTATACTCTCTCACACATTTCCAAATCTAACGTCTTTTAACGTGCGCATCAAACAATTCATTTTGCTTTTGTCACCAATGGCGCACGATAACATCCAGCTCCCCTGCGATGGCGACGGCGCGTGCATGCGCTGCAAGGTCACCCCTTCGGCGGAGGAAACCCTGACTTGCTGCACTTGCGCCACTCCTTGGCACGTGACATGCTTGGCTTCTCCGCCGGAAAACCTAGCGTCCACAGTGCAATGGCACTGTCCTGACTGCTCCGGTGACCCTCTTCCATCGGCCGCGGCCGCCATGGATGGAAGCTCCGGAGAGCTCTTCGCGGCGATAAGAGAGATAGAGGCGGATGGCTCATTGACGGAGAAGGAGAAGGCGAGGAAGAGGCAGGAGCTTGTGAGTGGAAGAGTTGAAGAAGATGATGATAAAGAGAAGAAAGGGAAAGGGAAAGGGAAAGGGAAAGGGAAAGGGGAGGAGAGCTCATTTTTGGATTTTCTTGATGGAAGCTTAAACTGCTCGTTTTGCATGCAGATACCTGAAAGGCCTGTCACGGTTCGTTTTTTCTTCTCTTGTTTTCCCCCAATGTTACTCTTGAGAAATGTCATGCTAACAACTGTGTATAATCTTATATTTTTTAGTTTCATAATATTTATTTTTCCGTTCAAATCGCTTCCTTCTTGAAAACTGTTTACTTCTGAGCTTTAATCTTTTATACGTACCTTTGAAAAGCCATCTGGTTTGCAATGATAAACGATGCTAGTATAGTATGCTACTACTTTGAGTTTGCACCTTAAAGGCCATCTAGTTGCATTCATATACGCAGCTTAAATCATTTGAGTGGGTTTTATATCCTTTAAGGATGATATCTAAAATGCTACTGACTCCAGATGATTAGGTTTCATCTTCAAAGTTGGAAAGTGTTTTATTTACCTTTGATGGGCTAGGAAGTTAGATCATTCCTTTAAGGGCGAAATAGTCTCCTTATGTATGTCAAATGCTGATATTTGTCTAATTCATGTTGCTTCAGACACCTTGTGGCCACAACTTCTGCCTTAAATGCTTCCAGAAATGGATAGGTCAAGGGAAGCGTACTTGCGCGAAATGCCGCTCGACCATTCCCCCCAAAATGGCAAATCAGCCTCGTATTAATTCAACGCTTGTATCTGTTATCAGAATGGCAAAGCTATCAAAATCAAATGCTGCTGCAGGGCCTCTAAAAGTTTATCATTTTGTACATAACCAAGATCGACCTGACAAAGCTTTCACTACAGAGAGAGCGCAAAGAGCTGGGAAAGCTAATGCTGCTAGTGGGAAGATATTTGTGACTGTACCACCTGATCATTTTGGACCAATCACAGCTGAAAATGATCCAGCTAGAAATCAGGGTGTGCTTGTTGGTGAATGTTGGGAAGACAGATTTGAATGCCGGCAATGGGGTGCTCATCTTCCACATATCTCAGGCATTGCTGGTCAGTCAAAATATGGTGCTCAATCCGTGGCTCTCTCAGGAGGTTATGAGGATGACGAGGATCATGGGGAGTGGTTTCTTTACACAGGAAGGTTAGTTTGAAAAGGCTATTCATATTAGTAGCATGCTATCTCATCATTTTCATTGCATATGATCATAAAACAAAAGTGCATAGATGAATGTTTATTTCAGTTGATTGTAATGCTTTGTTACCATCTAATACTTTATTTAATGTCAGTTATAGGTTATCAGAATTACTCTAAATTGGCTTTGCAGTCACATCACGTTTATTACAATCCCCAATAGAACAAATGCTATTATGGTTGTTGCGAGCATCACAATCATGAAAATTTTCTAATTCATGGAACCTATTGTAAAACATAGTAATTGTAATTATAATTATAAAAAACCATTTAATAATTTTTTCGAAATTGGTGATAACAGGGTGTAGTGATCCACTATTGCTGCTATTTTTGTTAGTGTCTTTTTTACGGCCGTTATACGCCGCTTTTGGTGTGATATTAGTTTTGCACTGCTATTTGATGGTTTAGTTGCTGTGGATGCCTGCTACCATCCAATAGCAGCTGCAACACTGCTATTTGAAATAGGATGTGGATTTTCAATTTTCAAATTAGGCCTCCATGTAAATTTCGTTTGCCTTTCCCAGCAGTCCAAGTTTGATTGTCATCTTTAATATTGCAGTTCACCATGAAACCGGTAATTACAATAATAGATAGTACGGCGTGTTTCATTGATGAACATGCTATGCATTTGTAACTGCTACTTTTTGGGCCTAAGAAGAGGTTAAGGATCCGCTTTTACTGCATACCTATCGTGCTAACATTGTTCAAGAATGATGTCAATAATTATTATCCTTTTTTTTTCCTTGTAAGCTGAAGAAGTTTGTCCATTGACATAGATTCATGTGGACATTTGACGATTGTTTGTTTCTGTGTGTTGGTGGCAGTGGAGGTAGGGATCTCAGTGGAAATAAGCGGACAAACAAGAAACAGTCATTTGATCAAACATTTGTGAACATGAATGAGGCTTTGCGAGTAAGCTGTAAAATGGGTTATCCTGTCCGAGTTGTAAGGCAAGTCTCATTTGTCATTATATGAAATTTAACTCTTTGTTTGTGTAATTCATTGTCCATGCATGCGCAAAGGGCAATAAGAGCTTCAATAATAGGTTAAGGATGCCATGTTTTCCTTTTCCTGGTTGTGCCGACTGCCAAGTCATTCCATTTTACAGTTGTCATAGAGGCCTAAACTGATGAAGCTATTTTACATTGTAAAAGCTTTTGTTTCTCTTGATGTGTAGGTCTCACAAAGAAAAACGATCTTCTTATGCCCCAGAGAAAAAAGGGGTGAGATATGATGGAGTCTACAGAATTGAAAAATGTTGGAGAAAGGCTGGAAAACAGGTATCATATTTCTATAAGACACATTAAAGTTGCCTTCTACTTTGATCTTTGATCAATTAATTTGCTGATAGGATATTCTTTCATTAGGGGTTTAAAGTTTGCCGATATCTGTTTGTGAGATGCGACAATGAGCCAGCCCCATGGACGAGGTTTCTGCCTTTCATATGCGTGTGCTCCTGCCCTTCTCTCTTCTTTAGCTATACTAAGCTTTCCTAAAACATTATTGTAGCGATGAACATGGAGATATGCCTAGGCCCTTACCATCCATTCCTGAGCTGAAGAAGGCAACTGACATAACAGAGAGAGAGGAGAGTCCATCATGGGACTTTGATGTAAGTGATGCAGTTTCTACTGGGATTTCTTTATTTTCATCTTTCTCTTTTTGATTAAGTTCATCTGCTAAATAGTAGATCTGATGACAAATGTTGTACTTCTTTGATATCGCCTACAATCTCATTCCTTGTCCCATATGCTAATGTAATTCTTAATTCAATTAGGAAGAGGAGAATCGCTGGAAGTGGAAAAAACCTCCACCTCCTAGTAAAAAGTCAATAATGGAATTAGCTGACCCTGAAGAAAGGAAAAGGGCAAGGGAAGCTATAAAGCAAGCACGTACTACATCTGTTAGAGAAAGACTCCTGAAAGGTTGTTCTCTTTATCCTGCCATAAATCATTTGTGTTTGTTTTCTCACCCTGGCCCTGGTTTTCTGATTGACTTGATATGTTTTACTTGCAGAGTTTGGTTGTCTAATCTGCCGGGATGTTATGAATCTCCCAGTAACAACACCTTGTGCCCACAACTTCTGCAAATCTTGTTTTGAAGGTGCATTTGCCGGTAAGAATACTATAAGAGAGAGGAGTAGAGGTGGCCGGACACTTCGATCACAAAAAATTGTGCTCCATTGTCCGTCTTGCCCGACTGACATCTCTGATTTTCTTCAAAACCTTCAGGTGTGGCATGTTATTTAATGTCCTTTAGCCTTATTTGAGAATGCAGAGATATTGTCCTTTGGCCTAATTTGCTGGACATCTTAACCTTGTTGACAGAAATGTAGTGTTAACAAGTTCATGGAATTGATGTGTCAGGTCAACCGAGAACTAATGGATGTGATCGAGACACTGAAGAAAAAGAGTGAGGAGAATCAGGAACCTGCTGAAAAAGAATTGAGTGAGGAACAGGAAGATGAGTCTGAGGAAAATGCAGACCTAGACTCTGGTGATAGCGAAACTGGCAAGAAAACAGAGAAAGCCGATCCAGACAACAATTCTCAGAAACCGAAAAGAGGTAGAAAGAGGAGGAAAGTGGGTACCACTCAAGGAGTAGCCGACAAGAAGGACTCTCCATCAAGCCCCCTCCAGGTGCAATCATCCGATGTTGATCTTGAATGACATGTTTTTCCTGCGTTTCTTATCAGACAACAAAAGAACTATGGAACTGGATGTACTACAGAGCTGTTTCGTCGTTCAATTCCACAGTTCCATTCTATGGATTATGAAAAGTTTTCTCCTTTTGGCAGTCATTTTCCTTTTAAATTTAGGTAATTTACACATTCTTTGTTAATTCATAAGGGGCTTGATCGGCATACTCTCTCGGTCCTTATTGCCCTATGTGACATTGGTCTGAACCCTGAGGCTTTGGCTGCTCTTGTCAAGGAACTCCAGAGAAAACCTCCACCCTCGGCTCCGTTGTCATCTTCATCACAAGTACCTTAACCCGGTTTCTGATTTTGGTACGTTCTTGTGATGTATACAAGCTATATTCAATCGATTCAAAAGAGTTCAGTTGCTCCCTCGTCTGCTGCCAGACACGTACATGCATGCATGCATGTAGAGCACATAAACACGATTATATTGTTCATCCACTACTTGGAGGATGAACAAAGTTACTGAGATGTGTTGTGATTTTGTTACAGCTAGGGGCATTATGTTGCTGTCTTTACTCTGACAAACTGGTACATTATTTTAGTTATCTTGCGCTTTATGTTAAAGGAAATAATGTTAGCTCAAATGTTAGGTAAACTTTGGTTTCCTTCGCCAACGCCTTAATGACCCATTATTCAATTAAGGGCCGAAACCGACGAATTCCGATCCAGTTAGATCCATCTTTTATAAAATTTAACTGAATTTAAATATAGGGTAAAGTATACAAATGATCCTATGACTATATGATACTATTTTATTAGGTCTCCAATTATTAAAAGTTATAAAATGATTATCTGACTATTTATTATGTTCTAAACTTATCCTTTTTTAAATTAATGATCATCTGAGCTAAACGTTAACATACATATTAAGATAATCCGAGCTAAGTGTTAACATACATATTAAGATAATCTGAGCTAAGTGTTAACATACGAATTAAGATATGATAGTCATTTGAGATTATGAGATTATGTTTTATCATATTTCGGTTAGTATGTTATCGTCCAACTCAGATTGTGTTGAAAACATTGTGATATTTTGATATACCAAACAAAATTGTTATTTAGTTTTTACAAATTTTAAGATTATATTTGATTCAATCATTTAAATATATATAATTATTCTTTAAAGTTAAAACGTCATTTTTTACTCCCCACTCTACTGAAAATTTGAGTCCTATACTGAAAATATTTTTGAAATAATTTTTGCTAAAGGTTTCGATATTTAATCGAGTCAAAAATGATTTTAAGCAAAGTAGTACTGATACTACTATAACAGTACTGGTACTACTATAACAGTACTGATACTGTTAAAGAAGTATCGATACATATATCGATACTGAAACCCAAAATAATGAAGTAGTACCGATACTATCAAAACATAATGCTAAAATGGTACCGATACTACTCATTTGGTTTTTGAGTCAGTGAAATTCCAGTATACTGAAATGGTACCGATACTATGTACAATATCGATACTACTGAATATAGTAGTACCGATACCCTTGTGACAGTCTCGATACCGATGTTTCCCAATGGTAGAATTTTGTATTTAATGCAGGGAGTATCGATGCTGATAGACGTAGTACCGATACTACAAGTCTCTGAACAACATTTAATGCCAGAAATTACCGCCAACGGCTCTATTCACTCCCACAACAACTTAAACGGTTGGAATTGATTGAGGGAGTATATAAACAAGATCTCAAACCATTTGTGAAGATAAGAGACAAAAGAGAAAGCTATAAACATCAAGTTTGAGCTAAATCAAGTCAACATTCTTCAATATTCTTTTTGCTTTCAAAGAACACTTCTTGTACTTATTTGTATTCATTTCTCAAGTGTTCTTATTTGTTCTTGAATTGTGAAAACATATTCCTTGTGAGGTTTTTATAAGTTTGCAATTTGTAATTTTTCTCTTTGAGAGAGTGTCTCAAGAATTTGGGGTATAATTCTTGAGGGAGTTGTAAGGTTACACCTTATCCTCAAAGGTAGATACAAATTAGTGAATTTGTGAAAATCCTTAGTGTGGATAGCTAAGGTAGTGGAGGTAGACTTTGGTTGATAAATTCGAACCACTCTAAATTCTTCTGTTCATTTGTTTAATTTTTCCTCTTAAGCTTCCACCAAATTTTTAATTGTTCAATTCACCCCCTTTTGGCTTTTTCATCATTTCGATTGACTCAACAATTGGTATCAGAGCTAGACTCATTGGAAGATTTAACCACCTCTTGAGAAGATCCTAAAGGAATTCAATCGTCATCCAACTCATCCATGGCCTCTACATCAAATTTCGAAATTGTTTATGACTCTTAACCCATCAACAAGCCTTCATATTTCAATGGAGCCAACTATGCCTATTAAAAGAATATGATGAAACTCTTTATTTAAGCAAGTGAATTGGGAGCATGGATCATCATGATGAAATGTCACTCTACTCCAACTACAGATATGGAGATGTGGAGTGAAGAAGAAAAGAGATTGTTCCAACTCAACACAAAAGCAATGGACATTCTATTTTGTGCACTTGGTCCCAATGAATATGTGAGAGTATCATCTTGTTCCAATGCCAAGGACATATGTGACAAACTTGAAGTTACTCATGAAGGAACAAATGAGGTAAGAGAAACTAAAATTAGTCTTCTCAATCATAACTACAAAAACTTCAAGTTGAGACCGGATGAAGACATAAAATCCATGACCGATCAATTTTCGGTTATTATCAATGGTCTCAAATGCTTTGGAGAAGATATTCCAAATGAGAAACTAATTAGAAAGATGATCTATAGCCTTCCCAAGTCATGGAAATCCAAGAAGACCGCCATAGTTGAAGCAAAGAATCTAAAGACTCTCACCTTGGATGAGCTCATTGGATCCTTGCTTACCCATGAAATGATGGTAAAAGAAGAAGAAGATCAAGAAAAGAAAGATGAATAAAAGAAGGAAATGTAATAGAAGAAAAAGATTGGTATTGCTCTCAAATCCACCAAATATGAGAGTGACTCAAATGATGAAGATGAGGATGAAGAAATGGCAATGTTTGCCAAAAGATTCATGAAGTCAAACAAAGGAAGAAGATTTCAAAGAAAAGAAGGCTTCAAGAATGAATCCAAGGAGAAGGAACCCATAATTTTCTATGAGTGCAAAAAGTCGAGGCATGTTAAATTTGACTGCCCATAATTAAAGAAGAGATCCTCCAAGAAGAAGCACAAAGCACATGTAGCTACATAGAGTGATAATGAGTCATCCAACGAAGAGGAGGAAGAAGTAGCCAACTTGTGTCTCATGGCCATTGAGGGAGAATCTAAGGTAACCTCTAACTCATCTACATTAAATAAATATTCCTTTGATGAGTTGCAAGAGGCTTATGATGAGTTGGCCTCAGAATTTGAGATCACGATTTCAAAAAATAAGAAAAATATTTCAAAATTGAAAATTGAAAACGATCTCTTATCCAAGACCAATAATGAACTTGAAAGTAAGGTCAAGGATATGCAAGTCAAACTAGAGGAGTTTGAAAAGAAAAATCATGACTTGCACAAATTACTTTCAAAGGTTCATGATGATCATCAAAAGAAACTTGATGATCTCAAAGCTTCTTTTAACAAAGTTGGAACAAATCATTTTGAAAGAGAACAAAATTCTAAATCCAACTATGTTAGAAATAACTTTAGACCATACAATCATAGAGGTCCCCAAAGAACCTCAAATAGGAAAATTATTAGAAGTATATGGGCCCCTAAAGAACTCATTACTACTAAAGACAATGATATCCTAGAAAAATGGATACCTAAAGGACTAGATTATTAAGGACTAATGCCTATGGACCCAAAAGAATTTGGGTACCAAAAATCAAAACTTAATCTATCTTTGTAGGTGGAGGAGCATTGCTACAAGACACAAAACAAAAGCTCAAACTCATGGTACCTTGATAGTGGATGCTTAAGACACATAACCGGTGATAAGAGTCGGTTATTGGAACTTAAAGCTAAAAGTGGAGGAGTAATGACCTCTGGTGACAACTCAAAAGGTTACATTGAAGGAATAAATTCTATTGGTAACAACTCTTCCATTCTTATTGAAAATGTTTTATATGTAAATGGGTTAAAGCATAATCTTCTTAGTATTAGTCAATTGTGTGACAAGGGATACAATGTCTTATTTGAGTCTAATGGTTAAAAAGATGTTAACATTGCATCTAATATGATTATGCTTGTTGGTCGTAGAATAGGAAATATTTACACGGTGCATCTAGATAATATTGACATGTCTAATGTATGTTTAGTTGCTAAAGATGAACATGATTTTTTGGTTGTGGCATATGAAACTTGGATATGCTAGTATGAGTGTTTTACAAAAACTTGTTCAAAGCAATTTTGTAAGAGGCTTGCCTAAGTTAAAATTTAACCTTGTTAAACTTTGTGATGCATGTGCTAAAGGTAAACACAAAAGAACTTCCTTTAAACCTATTAATGATGTATCATCTAGTAGAGTATTACAATTAATCCATATAGATCTTTTTGGGCCTATTAGAACTACTAGCTTGGGTGGAAAACAATATGCATTTGTATTGGTTGATGACTACTCTAGGTTTACTTGGGTTTTTTTTCTTAAGTACAAAAGATGAAGCTTTAGAAAATTTCATCACTTTCTCTAAAATAATCCAAAATGAAAAGAGTTACTCTATTTCTAGTGTTAGGAATGACCATGGAACCAAATTTGAAAATCTTGGGTTTGGTATTTTTTGTAATTCAAATGGAATTAACCATAATTTTCAGCCCTATAACCCCTAAACAAAATAGAGTTGTTGAGAGTAAAAATAGAACTTTAGAAGAAATGGCTAGGACCATGCTTTGTGAAAACAATTTACCAAAATAGTTTTGGGCGGAAGCCACAAATACCGCTTTGTTATATAATTAATAGAGTAATGATTAGGTCTATTTTAAAGAAAACTCCATACGAACTTTTCAAAAATAAAAAGCCTAACATTAGTTATTTTCATCCTTTTGGAAGCAAGTGTTTTGTTTTAAATAAT